ACTGAAGGCTGTGCTCTTTGATCTTCAGCAAGCAAGGTTGTATCATCTGCATATTTAGGTTGTTAATGAGTCTTTCTCCAATCTGATGCCACATTCTTCTATATATCATCAACCATAATTTCACATACACACAAAAATAGGGGAAACCCAGAAATTCAATTCTGTATTTCTAGTTTCAGCATAGGGCACAGGGCAAGAAGTTGAAGCAAAAACCAGAAACCCAGAAGGCAGCCAAAATGGGATTGACTTGATGGATGCAAACTGGTTTTTTGTTCTGTTTTATATTTTTACATAAAGACAATGGACTATTCTGGGGAGTAGCGAAGGAGCAGAGATAACTTCCTGGTTCTAGTCCTAGTTTTCCTTTTATCATCCCTTGGTGTTTATCTAGAGTTTCAAAATTAAGTTCATCTTTGAGTGCAGTTACTATAAAGTGCTTTCTTGACTATTAAATTGTTTTTCAATTTGTTCACAAGCTGAAAACGATCTTCACTTTGGAAGATACACCCACTTAAAAGCTGTTGTTCAAAATATTTTTGATTGGATGGGAATAGTTTTAAAAAATTAATGAACAAAATTGCAACTGTGAACGCTTCCAAACACAAAGACAGAAAAGGCTGTCTCTCACCTGCTTCCCTCACCTAACCCTAATCCTAATTCCCTCAGCCTCACCACCAGCCAACCCCACCATCACCAAGCCAACTGCTGTCTATGGACAGAGATTCATGGCTTCCCTGTGTGTGTCAGAGTAGAACTGTGTCCCACAGTGTTCTCAGTGGATGATGTTTCATAAGTAGATCCCACTCATGGTGCCATGTGTGTGTCAGAGTAAAACTATGCCCCACAGGGCTTTCAGTGGATGATTTTTTCATAAGTAGATACCACTCGTGGTGCCCCGTGTATATCAGAGTAGAACTGTGCTCCACAGGGTTCTCAGTGGATGATTTTTCATAAATAGATCCCACTCATGGTGCCTCCGTGTGTGTCAGAGTAGAACTGTGCTCCAGTGTTCTCAGCGGATGATTTTTCATAAGTAGATCCCACTCATGGTGTCCCCGGGTGTGTCAGAGCAGAACTGTGCCCACAGGGTTCTCAGTGGAAGAATTTTCATAAATTCTACTCATGGTGCCCTCAGGTGTGTCAGAGAACTGTGGTCCAGTTTTTTCAAGGTTGTCATCTTTACATACTGCCTGCCCTTTCTCCCACTCAGCCCATGGGTAGGACTAAACCACCACCATTTACATCACTGTCATTTGTAGAAACCTGGAGTTTACTAGGATTTACAATGACCCATGTTGTCCTGAGTTGAAGTGCCCTCTCTGTTGGGTTTCTGGGTATCTTTACAGAATCTAAACATCAGGTCCTTCTTCTTTGGTACAGCATGGTAGGATTAGACCTCCATCCTCTAGGTTTCTGTGCTCTGTGTGGTTTCTGTATAATCGATTCAGACTCATAACAACACTATGCTGTGCAGACAGGGTTTTTCAAACACTGTGATTGTATTTTTTACAAACAGATCTCCATTCCTTTCATACACAGTCCTACTGGGGAGATTCCAATCTCCCATAGCGACATTAGCAGTTGGGCACAAACTGTATGGGATACCCAAGGCAGAATCCTCTCCTCATCAGGTCCTCTGTCTGTACTGCAGAAAACTCAGTCTCTGTGGTCTGTCATGAGCCCGCAGACCAAAGCTTTGAAGGACAGACACACTACCCAGGGAACCAGCTGACCACAGCCTCCAACAGGAAGAACATTCTGGTCCACTGGAGGAGGAATTCGTATCTGAGAACCCACCCAGAAAACCCACTTGTGTCTAGTCGGTTGTAAATCGTGGCAGTGCCAATACAGAGTGGAACTGTCCTTGGACATTTTTGAGGCTGTACGTCTTCATGGAAGGAGCACTCAAGATATCAGACAATTTATTGAGTAAAACAAATTTGCTGCACAAAGACTCTTTAAAGAATTTAAGAGCAAAAACGTCAATATATGTATTGTTAATATATACAGATATGTATGGAGTCCTGGTGTGGCGCTGTGGGTTAATGCGTCAGACTGCAAAGCCATTTGAACTGTAAGGTTGGCTGCTTCTCGGAAACTCTATCCAGGGTCGCTATGGGTCTGAACTAACTCTACGGCACTTAACAACAACATAGATATGTATAGGGAGCTCTGGTATCTGAGGGGTTACGAATCGGGCTGCTAACCTCAAGGTCAGTAGTTTGAAACTACCAGGTGTTCCATAAGAGAAAAATGAGGGTTCTGCTCCCATAAATGTTTACAGCCTCAGAAACCTTACAGAGGGTCGCTAGGAGTTGGAACCCACTGCACAGCACACCACCACCACCATAGATATGTATGCTGGTAAGCACCTTCGAGTCAGCTCCTCCCCATAGGGACCTTGCCACATTCACCAATGTATTTCTTACAGAATTCCAATTAGTACACATAGAACTGACTGGAACACAAAATTTGGGAAACACCACAGTAATCATTATCTCAGGTTGTAATTATCTGTGGGTTTGTTGTTGTTGTTAGGAGCCATCGAGTAGGTACTGACTCATAGCGACCTTATGCACAGCGGAATGAAACACTGCCAGATCCAGGGCCAACCTCACTACTGTTGTCACACTTGAGTCCATCGATGTTACCACTAAGTCAATCCATCACGTTGGGGGTCTTCCCCTTTATCTCTGATATTCCATCTTACCAAACATGTTATTGTTCACTGTGGAAAAGCAGTGGACCGGGAGCTACAGGTTCACAATTCAAGTCCACCAGCTGCTCTGCAGGAGAAAGATGAGGCCTTCTGGTCCTGCAGAGATCTAGAGCCTCAAAAACCTGATACAGAGTCATTATGAGTTGGAGCAGACTTGACTGAATGAACAGAAAGCCAAAGTATTATGGAAATCAGAATATCTGCTGTCTCAAAGTATCACCCTATGAGATACTAAGTATAAAAGTTAAGAACAATGAACTCTAAATATGACAGAACTGAAGAAAATGTATGAAAACTAAACACTCTTAAATGCAATACAACATCAATGTAATAAAGTTTGCACAATATAACATCAACCAAATCATTAGAAAATAGAAAACCACATTTGCTGAAGGCTATTTCCTGAGACTTTACTATAGTAACCAAAGATTTAAAGAGAGGTACAATTAATCATGGAATGACAATATAACAAACATTGATGAGGATATATCCCTGCAGTTACAATGAAGCTGACATGTTTCTGTGAGAATTTTGCTCACATTAAGCGCAGTATTTTGAATTTTGCTCACTTCACAGTAGCACTATGGAAGAAATATCAAAATTGGACATACAGAAGTCTTTTATCTCTGAATCCTTTTATGGACAGTGAGGTGTGAGGTCTGATTAAATGCTTTCTTACACTCCTGACATTCATAGGGCCTCTCTCCATTATGGAATCACTTTTATGTACTGTATTGTGAGACAAATCTGAAGGCTTTCCCACACTCCTTACATTCATATGGTTTCCCTCCACTGTGTACTCTTTATGTGAAAGGAGAATTAAGTGATGATTTAACATTTCCCCACATGAGGCTTTCTGCTCCCATAAAGATTTCCAGCCTCGGAACCCCTGTACAGGATCCCTATAAGTCAGAACCAACTCCACAGCACATAACCACCACCACCATCACATTCCTTACTTTCATAGGGTCTTTCTCCACTGTGGATATTTCTATGTGATCTGAAAGTTGAGAAATGGGTAAACCTTTCCCGATTCCTTATACTCATAGGGTCTCACCACTGTGGATTCTTCTATGTACAGTAAGGGCTGAGGCTCTTGTAATGGCTTTCCCACACTATTTATATTCTTAAGGTCTCTCTCCACTATGAATTCGCTTATGTATACTGAGGGAAGAGTCACAAGTAAAGTTTTTCCATATTCTTTACATTCCTAAGGCTTATCTCCACTGTGGATTATTCTATGTGCTGTAAGATGTGCGGTTATTCTAAAGTCTTTTCCACAATCCTTACATTCATAGGGCCTCTCTCCACTGTGGATTCTTCTATGTTGTGTGAGGCTTGAAGCCTGACTAAAGGCTTTCCCACACTGTGTACATTCATAGGGCCTCTCGCCACTGTGGATTCTTCTATGTTGTGTGAGGCTTGAGGCCTGACTAAAGGCTTTCCCACACTCTGTACATTCATAGGGCCTCTCTCCACTGTGGATTCTTCTATGTGCTGTAAGATGTGAGGTTCTTCTAAAGGCTTTCCCACACTCCGTACATTCATAGGGCCTCTCTCCACAGTGGATTCTTTTATGTCTGCTAAGTTGTGAAGTTGTTCTAAAGGCTTTCCCACACTCTAAACATTCATAGGGCCTCTCCACACTGTGGATTCCTCTATGTGCTGTAAGTTGTGAAGCTGTTCTAAAGGCTTTCCCACACTCCTTACATTCATAGGACTTCTCTGCACTGTGGATTCTTCTATGTATTCTAAGGTATGAGGTGGTTTTAAAGGCTTTCCCACACGTCTTACATTCATAAGGCTTCTTTACACTGTGGATTATTCTATGTGATTTAAGATGTGTAGTTGTTCTAAAGACTTTTCCACAATCCTTACATTCATAGGGCCTCTCCGCACTGTGGATTCCTCTATGTGATTTAAGATGTGTAGTTGTTCTAAAGGCTTTCCCACACTCCTTACATTCATAAGGCTTCTCTCCACTGTGGCTTATTCTATGTGCTGTAAGATGTGCGGCTGTTCTAAAGGCTTTTCCACATTCTTTACATTCATAAGGCCTCTCTCCACTATGGATTATTGTATGTGTTCTAAGCCTTGAGGGTGTTAGAAAGCCTTTCCCACACTCCTTACATTTATAGGGCCTCTCCGCACTGTGGATTCTTCTATGTGTTTTAAGGTGTGAGATTCTGCTAAAGGCTTTCCCACACTCCTTACATTCATAAGGCTTCTCTCCACTGTGGATTATTCTATGTGCTGTAAGATGTGCGGTTATTCTAAAGGCTTTTCCACATTGTTTACATTCATAGGGCTTCTCTCCACTGTGGGTTCCCATGTGTCTCCTGCACTCTGAGGAAAATCTGAAGGCTTTCCCGCATTGCTTACATTCGTAAGGCTTCTCTCCGCTGTGAATTGTTCTATGTACTATGAGGCCTGAGACATTAACAAAGGCTTTCCCACATTTCTTACATTTATAGGGCCTCTCTCCACTGTGGGTCCGCATGTGTCTCCTGCACTGTGAGGACAGTCTACAGGTTTTCCCACATTGCTTACATTCATAAGGCTTCTCTCCGCTATGGATTCTTTTATGTGCAGTCAGTTCTGAGGAATCCATAAAAGTGTTCCCACACTTCTTACATTCATAAGCCCTCTTTGCACTGTGGACTGTTTTATGTCTCGTGAGCCTTGAGGTGCGGCGAAAGGCTTTCCCACATTGATTACATTCATAGAGCCTGTCTCCACTGTGAGTTTGCAAATGTTGACTCTGCTGTGAGGAATCCGTAAAGGATTTCCCACACTCTTCACATTCAAATGGCCTCTGTACACTGTGAGTTCCTACAAGTCCAGGGAGGAGTGACGCCTCACCAGAGACATTCCCACACTCCATATAGTCATGCAGTCTGTCTCCACTTATCTTATATTTATGAGTATTTTTCCCACCATGAGTGCTCACAGGCATGGTCAGATGAGAAGGACACCTGTAATCTTCTCCACAGTCCGGATACTGACAGATACTGCTTCCAGTGTGAGCTCTACTATGATTGTTCTCTAGGGAATGATCCAGGAAGGCTCCTCCATACTCACAGCATTCAAAAGGATCTACTTCTGTGGAATCTACTTGGTGCACAGAAAGACCAGGAATCGGGCTGGAGGTTTCCCCACACTGGTTGTGTTCACAACGTTCACCCAGGTTCTTGATTGCACCAATTCTGTTAAAAACAGGTAGTGTAAATGTAAACCAATGGTGTCCTCTGCAAACTACTCCATTTTCAACAAGGAGACAAGAAAAAAAAAAGTCAGTTATCGTGTTGGAAACAAATGTTGTCGCATGACAGCATTACCGAACACAGTGAACATGCATGTCTTTTTCCTGAATTGTCTCAAGATTCATCTAGGACAACAACTACCATGTCCGTCAATGTGTAAGACTTCCTGTTCATTGTATCCAAGTGAAATATGCTCGAAACATTTCGCTAATACTTACGAAAATGTTCTTACATGAATTTTCACGGCACTCATCGCTTTACAACCAGAAATATACACATATACATATATACATGGGTCCTGATGAAGGATTAACACTAGGCGGCATGCTAGATTTGAACCATAAAGTGGAACGACTTCATGGCATGTAACAACAGCTGCTCCTTGGAAAGTCAACAAAGGGTTGCTAAAAGTCACAACTGACTTGGGAAATACAACACATATACATCAGTTGGCTTCAGGGATTCAAACCACTTTGGAACAACTCAGCAAATTCCAACATAAATGAGTAAAGTGTCCAGATTGTATAGCAATCAAAACTGTTGTTTAATAGAATTTGATTAGATGAAGAAACAATCACTGGTACCGCAGTCAAGGATGGTGATCAAACCACCAATATAAACATGTCGCTCTACACACTCCTGCAACACCAAACACCTGCAAGGATACCAAGAGTCCTACATCACAGACCAGATATGTCATAGGACTTTGGAGATCAGCAAACACTTAGAGCTGTGCAGCCTGCCACCATATCTGAATGGCACACTACTGACAGTTTCTTAATTGACTCACAATTTAAAAGGCAAGAGATTTGACTGTTGGGAAATGCATATGCAACCTTCGTTTGTCCAGCAATTACTCAATCAAAATTGTTCACAGAATGATGCAATTGAAAGACGATGGAGTTCTCCATGAACTATTTGGAGCCCCCTCATTTCAGTGTATTTTGATGTTATGACACCTTCTGAGATTTTGTGAAGCACTAATTTCTGTTGTCTGAATCACACTCACCTCAAATTTCTCCCCTGGTTGTCAAGATGATCCTTCCAGACATGTGATTTCTTGATTGCACCTGCGATGCATAATAACCAGGTGTTACTCTTCAAATAGCATATGATTAAATGCTCACTGGGTAATTTTTCTCCATCATTAATGGTTTCAGCCACTGATCCAATCATTCAGGTTAAAGTCCACAATTAGAATCGAATGGAAATGATTAGAGGAAACAGAGGTTCCTAGTAAAAAAGACTCAACCCCATTTTGCTATTCCAGGACTTTGACAAGTGTTAAAATGCAATTTACTAGGAAATACTTCTATCAGGATGGAGAGGGACAGTAACATACACCGGTATCATTAGGAGAGCTAAGTAGAAAGGAATTAGACATACCACACATGTAACGTTACAAAGGCAAAGGGTCTCCGTGTC